GTGGCTGAGGCAATGGCAAGCCTTTGTGAGGCTGTGCCAGGAGAGAGCATGTGTTTGCTCTTCTGTCTGCCAACAGGGAAAAGAACAAGGAGAAGGAATTTTTGTAGACCTTTACTTCATGAAAACCCAGCAAAAGGGGCATGTGTTGTCTTTTGAGTAGTGTTCGTTTCTCCTTGCTCTGGCAATGCTTTTCAAAGAAAAATCATTCCTACTTTGGTTTGGCAGTAAGTAGGTAACCCCTTATGGGGGCTGTCACATCATGGATCATTTGGGGAAATGAGTGCTTTTGTTTTTTCCCTGTTTTGTCGTTACTGCTTGTAAACAAGGCTTTGGAACTTGAGTATATATATTAGGTAGGAGAGATTCTCAGAGTTTTTTCTTTTTCTTGATACATCATTTCCCACTGACCTCTCATGTTTCAGAGGTGCCTCGCCAGTCATAGTGACATTCAGGTTGTGAGTTCAACACCCAAGTGACCTGAAACATGTCAATTGTTTCTTTTCCAACTATCTGAGTTTTTGTGAGCACCTGCAGTTTAGCCTAAGCAGATGCAGAGGTTACTCAAAATGTGCAGCTGTTGGTGGTAGCACAGATGTGCTACAGTGTGGCACCTGTGGAAGATGAGAGCAGCAGCCACATTGCAGGGCAGCTGCATTGCACAAAAGATACAGGTGTCCCCCTTTTGTTCTATCCTTGCGTATGGTTTCTGTGGGGTTGCTGTCATAATGATGTTCTTAAATGAGTAACCATTTAGCATTTCTCATTACCTTTCCTGTAATCTTTTTAGGCTGACATTTTTGCACTTTTCCAACACTTTCGAAAAAGTTTCTATTTATTATTTTTTGTGCTAAAGAAGTGAGCTAAGTTTTTGGCAGCTGCTCTTGAACTATCACATTGAGGGCAGTATAGACAAAATTATTTCATTTAGAAATTATTAGGTACCATTACCTGTTTCATTTAGAAACAAAACCTAAACACAGTGTGTTGACACCAATGCAGTGTGTGGCAGAAGAGGAATAGAAGCTCTTCACCTTGGTCTCAGTAGTGGTGAGGGTTGTAACTGAAATAAGGCAAGCTTCCTGTGGTAGGGAAGGCTCACAGAGTAATGAAGAGCTTTAGAGCTGAACCAAACGTACATACTGATGATGTGAGGAGAGCTTGTGGTTTGAAATGTTATTTACAGTTTTGGATAGACATCACAGAAAGCTGTTCAGTGAGGAAGGCCTCATTGTACTTGGCCATTCATTGTCTTAAATCCCTGTGCATGTATTGTAGAGTAATTGATTCAGACAAAGATCATCGCAATTAACGCACCAATGTGCAAATACGTTTGGGAAATTTTACACTTACTAATCAAATAAATCAAATCTCTGGATGCCTTCTTCCACTGACAGGCTCCATACCTTGAAGCTATTTGGCTGATCATCATGCTGGAATCAGTTACGCTTACACAGTCTTTAACTGTACAATTGCTTTGTTGTTTGGAAGGTGCCAATGTCTAGCTCTGTATTTTATGTAGCTAGTCATAGGAGAAGGCTTTAGTCAGAGTCCAGAATGGCCATATGAAAAGAGAAGCTACAAGATTAAATTAAATCTTTGCTTTCATAGTACGTTTGGCAAGCCAAGCTAAAATGCTAAACAAATTAAATATTAGCAGAGTAATTTGCAAGTATTAGCTGCCAGAGTTGTAAATTCTGTCCTGGATAAATACACAAAGGTTTAAACCAAAACACAAAGTCTGTTGGTACCAGTGTTGAGCTACAGATGTTCTTAATCATTCTTGCTTGTGCTGTAGAATAAGACTAAGAGGACTATTCAGTTTCAGAAATACTCTTAATGTTATTGTAAATTTGACTTCATACGACAGTTCCAAAGTATTTAATCCAGTGAATAATTCTATTAATACTTTGTAATTATAATAATTAATACTGTATAATGTTATATGACACTGTTGCTATGTAGCATTATACAGTACAATAGGCTTACTTTATAATGCTATATAATATTAGTACTTTGTTTCCAAGTGCTCACTGCAGATTTGATAGGAGACAAGGTAAAAAAAACTAACTTTGAAACCAATGAGCTTCTTTTTTATAGAGATGCTTCAGAAGTTACTAATACCTCTAGAAGGACAACAGAGCTTTTAAAAATAAATGCATGCTGAGGTAAAGAGTAGACCTAAAAATACATGTCAGTAATTTTTATCAATGATACAATCACTGGCTTAAATACACAGGTATTAAAAACAAAGGGATTGCAAAAGCCTGTCACCTCCAAAATTAGAGTCTTAAACTTTAGAGTCTTAAACTACAAAGCAACAGTGGAACAAGGTGAGACACTTAGAAGGTTTGATAGTCAGCTGCCAGTCTTCCCTGTTCGCTTTACAACAGTGGAAAATTTACACTTTGTTTGGTTCCTGTGGGAAGATACCCGTTAACTTGCTGTTGGGTAATGACCTCTCAGAGTCTTTCTCCTTTTCCTTCACAGCATGTAACGTTTGGTACCTGAATTCAGTGGAGATGGAGTCCCTCACAGGCTACCAGGCAGTACAGAAAGCCTTGAGCCTGACACTGATGCAAGATCCATCTCCCATCTCAACCGTTGTCCACTTCAAGGTGTCTGCGCAGGGAATCACGTTGACAGATAATCAAAGAAAGTAAGCAGAAGAGGGGTGGGAAGAGAATATCCAGCCTTGTCCTGAACACATCGGTGGGGGTTGATTTGATTTTCCCAGTTACATTCTGCAGCCTCTGTCACAGAAGATAATAGGATTGTCTAGAGAATGATGGTTACAGTGTCAGCTGTCTGCAGGACTGGAGAATTAATGTTTTAAGCTATGGAAATTGCTCCCACATGGCAGCTTTCACCTTTGCAAGGTCACCTTCCCATGGCACTTTTTTAGTTGTTTTTTGTAAAATGGGAAAGTAATGACTTTGCCAGCATTTGATACTCGGCCTATTCAGTGAAATAATTAATCTTCATGGTATCTTTTACCAGTGTCAATGATTAGAGTTGGTCTAAATACTGTCTTATTTCCAGTATTTGAAATAGTGCTTTGAATAACCTGTAAATACTATGATAAAAAGTGAATTTATGCTTACTTGTACTGAATGCTGTTAAGGCTGCCACAAAGTCTTTGGATTTAGAAACTGAGAGTAGCAAAGGAGGGACAACAGGAATTATTGTAGGTTTAAAAAAAAAAGTGCAAACTGAGAAAAAATCTTGAATTATAATGCCAAGGAATGCTCATATTTTGAAACTTAATACAATCAAACTAGTCACAAATTCCAAGAAGTTACATTTCCCATTGACATTGTACATAAATGGCAAACTTTTAGAAAAAATGTTTCATACTTATAGAGCATTTTCTTAGCTTGAGGATTTAAAAACTTGGTGTTAATATTTAAAAATAGTTTTATTTGGTTGGAGCAGTTCAGGTGGCTTTCAAAGTCCATCAGATAGCAAAAAAAACGTATCATCATTATTAAATCTAGATTTAATGTAGTTTATTTTCAGATCTGTTTATTGTTTAAAAAAGTATTTTAACTATTTCTAAAACTTGTTTTCTTTCTTCCAATCCAGACTCTTTTTTCGGCGACATTATCCAGTCAACACTGTTATTTTCTGTGCTTTGGATCCACAGGACAGAAAGTAAGGAAGACAAGCAGTATTTCTAATATGTTGTTTGTACTGTTGATCAACAAAAACCAAAAAAAATAACATAGGTTTAATTTTTATTCCTCTCCTTTTTTTTTTTTCCTTACTGCTCTCTCAATGGAACACAAGATGGATGAAAGATGGCCTGTCTGCAAAGTAAGTGGACACCTGTCGTGAGACTCTTTTAACTGGATGTTTTAGGAACACCCATTACAGTGATCAGTTTCATACTGTTCTAAATTGCCTTTGTCAGAGATGTAGAAGGGAAAGAAGCTGCTCAGAGATAAAAGTCACTCTGCCCACTGTGATTAGACTTAAGTTGCTTCGTTTGCACCTCTGAATGTCTGGGCCTAATTACCTGATAGTGGGATGTCTGAAGCCACAGCTAAGCCTGATTTACTTAGGTTGCATGTATGTGATTTGATTAAAGTTTCAGAAATTAAAACAGCCATTTGCTACTCAGTTTTGTGTTCTATTTGTCAGCAATCCTGTCACAAGCTCGCTTGTCTCATTTAGACTGCTAGCTTTTAAAAATAAATAAATGAATCCCACTGATGGCACATGGATGAAAACACTCCTAGTAATAATAGTGTATGGCATAAATATATAATTACAATATTAGTAATTGTATATTATTATATATTATGGATATATATTTTTCCTATATTATTCTATATGAATATGTAAATTATATATTAAAGGGTTACAAAGTGTTTTCTCTTGATGGCAAACATTTTTGTCTTCCTTTTAACAAAAGAGAAAACCTAAACAGAGAGACCTCCAGCACTGGTTTCTAGAAAGGAGCAGAAATAGGTGGCTGAAGTCCTGTTTCCAGTATTCTGTCCTCTGAGATGTGTGGCCCTCAAAACCTCTATTTGAATCAGGTTAAATATATCCCCAGGGTCAGCAGAGTGTTTCTGACAGCAAACATTACAGGATGCAATACAGACAGAATAGAAGGAAGAGTCTGCTTCCCTTCTTCTGTCCATCTTGAGCCACTCAGGAGCTGCTGAGCTGGGTGGTGCATCTGGCCCAGTGTTCAGCAGTCACACAGGACCTTGTCTGCCAGAACAGATGAAGTCTGATTTGTGCTTTTGGTTTCTCCTGTGTCTTTTTTTGCATTATGAAACGAGGCGATGGCTGCCTGTTCTCTGACGTACTGTGACTGTTGCCCTTGCAGGGTGTTTGGGTTCGTTGCCAGGAAGCAAGGCAGTGCCACAGACAACATATGCCACCTGTTTGCAGAGCACGATCCGGAGCAGCCTGCCAGCGCCATTGTGAACTTTGTATCAAAGGTCATGATTGGATCCCAGAAGAAGATCTGATGCCTCCCCATCCCTGAGTCAGAGCTCTTCACTGAAGCAAAGCACTGTGAGAGGGAGGAAGCCTGTTCAACAGCCATGTCTGAACCTTGTCATTCCCAAGAAGGAGAGCAGGGGACGTGCCATCTGCATTGCGTTTGCAAGAGTTCAGCCTTTTCTTTGAAGATGCCTCTGATTTAACAAAGCATTATTTCTTTGGTTTTGTATAAAAGGACAAACAGAAGAAGCTGGTTGCCACCCAAACCCATGTAGCCCATACCTAAATGAAGCATAAACAAAAGACTTTTCCCCTGAAGGGTTTCTAATGTATTTTCACATGCTGTTTCTCATCATTTAACGGGGCAGAAATACTCAGTAGGCTGTGGTACTTTTTTTTGTGCAGAAAATGTTTTGTATAACCTCCACAACGACACTTGCCATAGTTGCATCAATGGTAGCTATAGGCCTTGTGAACATGCTCTTAAGGAAATTATGGTCTGATGAAGATTCTTTTGCTCTTCCCTTCATCTTTATGTGATCAGTGATGGGAACTTAGTGGAGAAAGGGGAAGATGTATGTGAAGAGAAGATTTGTGCAAGTTATTTCTGGTAAGAAAGGAGTGGCAATGTGGAATATTCAGGGAGATTGCTCTATTTAGTATTAAGAAGGCTGGGGTGATTTAGCCTGATAAAATGAAAATAGGGGAGAGGTGACAGAGCAAAAAAAAAGATTGTATGGAAATCTATAATTGGGGAGGGTTTGTATTTTTTTATACAGAGAATTAAGGAGGGAAGATTGTGAATTTTAATAATTGCAGGATAAAAATGAGGGAAAAGCAAAGAATAAAAATTTATAATTTATATATTTTTACTGTGCCAGATTATTTATAGCATATCTCGGATCTTGATATGTCATATGGATTTTCTTAAACTAGACCTTTGTTGAGCTTTACCTCTTTAGCTCTGTTTTGCATACGTGTGTATAGCCTGTGCCTTGCTACAGACAATAGTCTCATATTTGGACTTTTGTCTTACAGTGACAAGATATTTCTCATTTCTTGTCTCTCTAATATATTTTGATAATAACATTTGTTCCCCCATCTAATACATAATTATATTTGTGGATTCTTCTGGTACCTTTTTATTGGAGTTTTAGGGTGTTTTTTTATTTTGATATTTGGGGTTTTTTATCTGTAGGAACTATTTTAGGTTTGTAATTTTTTTTTTTTAATAATTCCTTCAGTCAGGAAATTCAAAAGGGAATGGAATTTATGTTGTTACTCTGTCCCATTTTATAGGAGCATTTATGTCACGATTTCTACAACCATCACACTTGTACATATCTCTGTATCTTTCTAAGCACATTGGTATTTTAAATTTGTAACAAAGTGCTAATTAGCCTTTCAGAAAATCGATACAGTCAGTTACAGTGGAAACCTTCAGGAGAAGAGTCAGCTGCTGAGCTCTACTGTGTAATTCCCATTCACTCCAAGAAGAGCAGTACTAGACCCCCACCTGAGAACTGATGGCAATAAAGCAGCTTTCGTGTGACAGTGCTGAAGTTGCATTGCCTCTATTTCTTTGATATGTGACTGTCAATATTACATTATATTAATAACCTGAGGAATTAAATGACATGCTGAATTTGGCATGTCAGTGCATGAGGCACTGGAGTAACTAGTAACTATGCACTTGGGGGATCTAATTCTTTTATCCACTTTTACTAAATAATGGTTAAACGGAATGGGAAGCTCTAGTTGGGCTATGTGGTAAGAAGGTTGCACCAATTTGAACTACATTTGTCCTGTATAAATTCTGATCTGTTTTTTATTAATAGCTCTCTTCCTATTTTCTAAAGTATTAGGACCATGGAAGCCTTATTCAGTGACCATAGCCAAGGTGTTACCAAGTTGCTTGTGTAACTATGAATCTTGTACAAATAAATTTACACTTTTGAAAGGGATAGGGGTGGGGGGAGAGGGGAGGGAGAATAAGATTTGAAGTTTATTGTATTTGGAACAGGAAGTGGTGTATTGGCAGTGGGCATTGGATGTGTGTAGAAGGTGAACCAATCCAAAGTGTAGTAGCTACCGTTGAAGCAACAAAGGCAAGTGCCTCTGATTTGTACCAAATAATTCTCTTCTGACACAGAGGTATAGTATTTAAACAGTGTTTATGTACCATCCGAAAAAGAATGCAGTTCTTAACTTTCAGGAGCTTTGGTCTTTTTGAAACATGTGAGGACAAGTTGCCTTATAATACTCTTTTGAAGTACCAAGAATCTAGTTGCCTAATCTTGTCAGTCAGTTGGATGGAGCCCGGTGAATTTCTTCAGCTGACATCTCAATTAGATCTGATTTGAGATGTAAATCTGGTGTGTTGTGAGCACGGAAATGAGGAGTAGTTGTTTTACTGTTTGGTTTTTTTTTTTTTTTTTTTTTTAATTCCTTGTGCTTTCTCAAGGCCTGCTGAATTCAGGAGCATAAGGAATTGAATGCTGACACTCCTGATGGTGCTCCCTGGGAGTTCAGCTCTACTTGGTTAAGTGGGAAGAAAGAAGTTGTCCTGTTTCTAAGGGAGATTTTCTATTATGCATTCCTTTGGATGTTACATTGCCACATACTTCTGCTTTTTAATGAATTAAAAAGATGCACAAAGCAAAGTAGTTCAGTATGTACCACTGTGTAGTGTATGTAGAAAAATTTTCACAAAACTTATGTTCACGGCAAATAGAAGACTAAATAGTTAATACAGCACTTTCCTTCAAGGTCTGTGGTAGATGTGTATATGCAGTTTCAAAAATAATGGCAGCAAGCTGACATCTATATTTAGTGAGACTCCTATTAACCTGCTTAGTAAATGTACTACTATAATCGTACAGTGTTAAACTACAAAAATGCTAAAAGCCATGTTTTTAATTGTTTTAAACATTAAAAATTCAGTGTTTCCTTCTTGGATTTACCTACTAGTTGAAAATTTTTGCCTTTTTCTTGAAACTATAAAGAAACATCAAAAGGTCTCCAGTGTATAAATGAATATTCTATAAATTCTTTGTATAGCTATTTTCTCTACTCTTCAGATATCGCCTCTATTCAAATTATAATAAAATTATCAATGTGAAATTTCACCACACAGTGTTACAGGGCAGTCTATTCTGAAAGAAAGTTAACCTCTGGCGTTCAAAACTAATGAGCAAAACCTTCTTGGTGAAGTAAAAATAGGTTGTGTGCTGAAACAGAAAATAAAACTTTATTTTCTAAAGGTTTCTTTCAAGGGCCTGACTTCACATGAGTCTGTGTCGTTGGTTCAAGTCTAGTTAAAGTGTGATTTTCCTAGTTCATTAGTGGTCTTAATGGTATAAAAGTGCCTTTTGCCTGCATTGTGTGTTTTGGTGTAAGAAGGAAGAATATATGATGTCACCTTCTGAGATGTCTGTACCTATTCAACTGTGCCTCCCCAGTGACTGCATTGGAAAAACTTCCAGAGGAGCTGAGGGGGGTGAGAAATCTAACCCCTAGCTGAAATAGCTCTCTGAGTACGAGATCTGCGCATCGGCCACACGTAGAAGACTGAGTGAGATACAAGCTTTATTTGGTTTATTTCTGAGACTGATGAACTCTGGTGTGTCATGCTGATGCCTTTTCTATGAGGTGTAGGCTGGCAGGAATTTTTCATTCAGTGTGCTGGACTGTCACTAATCACTACAGGCCATTGTGGGGTTTATGCATGGGCGTAACGTGACAGAGTTATTAATTAAAAGTATTCATCTTTTATTGGAATGAGCTACAGTGTGGAACAGATGACAAAGATGCAGCAGTAAAATGGATCCTCTGTGTCAGAGTCCAGGCTTCTGTTAAACTCTTGTTCTTGAACTTGAATGCCACTGTGCACGTGTGCTGCTGTTGCTCCTCTTTGAAGGCTGCTATGGGATCTCTTTGCTCCAGTGGATGAAAATCTGCTTTCAGTATTCATCCTAAATGCATTCAGATTTATATGCAGTTGTTCTTCTGCCAGCATTGTCTCTTAGCATGAATAACTGTTTTCTCCTTGAAGTATTTATAGCAAGAGATCTTGTGTCCCTCAAACTTCCTTTGGCAAGGCTAAACAAGTCAGCCCTTAAATTTTTGTCTTTGAAAGGGTGCAGAGGCTTGTTCTTTATTACTCTGTCAGTTAAATCATTTTGTTGGAATGGAAGTGAACAGCCAGACTCTTAAAGCAGCTGCCTAGTGATTTTTTTTTTTTTAATATTCATAGCAGAGAACCCTTGGAAGGAGAAAACCTGGCCCACCACACAGGCAGAGTAAACCTCTCTGCTGCTGCCGTGTCGCATGAGGGTTCCAGCAGTGTGGAGGACACCAGGCAGTGTGCACTGAGGAAATCTCAGGGCAAGTGGCTGAAGAAGTTCTCAGAAGCATGTCAGAAACAGGAAGCTTGCAGGAGACTTTGCAAGTCTGGCAGACGACCAAGAGGGCAAAGGGGAGTTCCTGGGGAATGTAAGGATCTTGCTGAACAACTGAGAAGGGATTTCAATTACATGTCACTGCAAGCGATACCAAACCACCACTGGTGCCTTCCTCTGAAGACATTCAGTGTCGTGCATAAAGCACAAGCGTTAGTACCAGTTTGGATGTTTTAATATTTGCAGAATCACAGAATGGTTGAGGTTGGACGGCACCTCCTGGAGGTCTTCTGGTCCAATTGCCCTGTTCAGACAGGGCTGTGTAGAGCCAGTTGCTTAGATCCGTGTCCAGATGGCTTTTGAATATCTCCAGGGATGGAGACTCCACAACCTCCCTGGGCAACTTGTGCCAGTGCTTGGTCACCCTAACAGTAAAGAAATGTTTCCTAATGTTCAGGGAAAATTTTCTTAGGCCTTTTGACATGGCTCCCACAACATCCTTCTCTCCAAAGTGGGGAGATGTGGATTTGATGGGTGAATAAGGAGTTCGTTGGATGGTTGCATCTAGACAGCAAGAGATCAACAGTTTGATGTCCAAATGGAGATCAGTGACAAGGGGTGTCTCT